GGCAGGTCGTTTTAGACCGACCAGCACTAGCATAGATTAAATTGCTATAATTTTATGGAAACAAATGTATACACCTATGATAATCGTTTCCCACTAGCGAGAGGTATATTTTTTTTCCGTCCGCATCAGCTTAAGTACCACGTCGGGCCGAAATCAGCCTGTTACACAGTGAGCGTGTTAATAGTGCAAGAATTTTTGAAATATGCCCAGTAACTTTTGAGTTATTTTAATACATACAAAAATACAAATATTTCTTTATTCTATTAGTATAACGGGAAAGAACTTTCGAGTACATCTAACTCGTAGTACACACTTTGACAATACAGTTTGAGAGCATTCTATACCTGGAAAATTGCATAATACGTAGTTCACATTTGGCCAGTACAGTAGAACAGTAGTGCGCTATAACTGGACTGGTATTCAAATAGTATCATTTGAACATTAAATACCAATTTATACATGCTTTGACTACACTATTATCCTAATGTAATAAGCAAAGTGTGAACTACGTGTAATTTTATTTACCTATAGTTTATTCTTTGTAAAAAAATATTGTTCACTGGACTACATTTGTTATGTCAGTTCCAGTAAAATCGGTGCCGAAACCTCAATAACTGTGACCGGTGGTTTTTAATTGTTTTTTTTAAGAGTATTCCAATTATAATTTAACATTACTGTGTATACTATGATGATGAATCTGTAAGTTTATTAAAACATCGAGATTTGCTTTTTAATTACAAGATGTGAGTTAATTTTGAACTACACGTTGTTTGTATGGATTTTTTTATTAATAGCCCAATAACTAAAAATCTGATTTTTGTCATACATATGTAATCTCTTATTTTTATTTTTAGCTTAGTGTCAAAAAACGATGTATTAATATTCTTATAAATATTATAACAGACATGAAACTTCGAAGAGTAAGAAAATGTTCGATCTTTTATGAACAAAAAAAAAACAATTAATGTTTTTGATCTATTACGCTTATTAATTACATTATTATAATAATTATATTTAGTGAATTTCCCTACTTGTAATGTTGATGTTTATAGAAATAACAAGATTTAGTCATATAAGAAAATATTCAGTTCAGAAATTATAAATTATACATTATCTTACTTCATATTGGCTATGAGTTTTCAAGAACTCGTGTGACGTCATTCGTCTCATGTTACCGTGCACGAGTAGTATTTAAAAATTGCTATAATTTAATTAAAATATAATTTTAAAAGCACTGGCTCTACGTCAAAGAGCTTTTGTCCATTTAAAACTAATTTTGTCTATGGTTTTGTTTTAAATTTGGAATCTATATTTTTTTTTAAATAGCGATAAAAATATATCTATAGCATTTAATATTAATGATAACAATCTTTCTCTTTTGAACGTAACAAAATTATTATGCACATAAATAAAATATCCTAAGCTATGAACAAGTTTAACCAAAATATTTGATAGTCAATGTACAATATTTTTCAGTCAGTTACAGTTAAATAAAAATGTATGTAAAATTTTGAAATTTCACTGCCAAAGCATTATAAAAAAAACTCATGTTATCGTTTTAAAATAATTAGAAAACTAAAGACATGTCCAACAAAGATATTTTATTCGGTGGGCATAAGTATATTATGAAAGCCCACTAGCGCCATCTAGTTATCATCAAAATAGTATTGTAGGTCTTGTTTTTTTGTGTTTTTAATATATTTTCTGGACTAACCGATAACAGTTTATATAAAAGCTTTAGCAGTGAAATACAAATCCTCTCTATTATAAGATAATGACGCTGGTTCGTCAGTCATTAAGTTTGTTAAGTCTTTACGGTTATAAATATTGTATTTTATAAACACTTTATTTGATCATTTCAATATAAAGGGCTTGGAAGTTTTGATATTTTAGGAAAAACTCTTATAATACTTCCTTCCCTTTTTAAATGTACCATTTTTAACCATAAAACGTCTGGAATACACCCTTAGTTTTATTTTATTTAAATTCAAAGATAAGTAACGCTTATAATTTAGCCATTTCAAAAGTATAAAATATCTGATTCCTCGGTGGACAAAAGTGAAACTAAATTATGATAGCTCACTAGCGCCCAATTGCCATTTTCTGTGTCCATGTAGTTACATATTTTTTTTGAAAGAACCAAGCGGTAACCGCGCCACACCAGGCTAGACTTTATCCTTGTTGGACTATACAATCATCATATTTAAAAAAAAATCAATTTTTATTATGTTACAAAGTCAAAGCTGAACATAACTAATACTGCCATATCCAATTTAAAGTATATGTAATTTACTATATATCTAATAAAGTGTTAAAATTAAAAATAATATAGTTCTATCCCTTTCTATTTCTCACTGCCTTCGTTTTTATGTGATTTTTGTAAGTTACAATAACTGATTTTTGAACACGCACATATTTGTGATTAATTTATAAAAAAAAACTTGTGCACAATCAGGATATAAATATAGGATTTTGTTATTCAATAATTGAACTGATTTTCCGTGTATTTTAAAACTAATAAACTAATTTTTAACCGTGGGTTAAAACACATTTTGTCTCTTTCATTATCTCTGGAAAAGCTGAGATAGGAATGTTTTGATTTTTTTGCCAATTTAAAAAACCCACGGTGACACTAGAGTATTTAAAAAATAATTAAATGCGACATGTTCGCGCTATTCTGTACCACGTGACTACTCTTATTAATGTAGGATAAAACTTCGATATGATTTTAATAAGTAAAAAGTATTTTTAAAATATGCAAATTATCTGTCGACAGTTATATATAAAATATATTTTTACTTATTAAAATGTAATTCGATATATTAGTAATAGTAACAGGCTGGTCCTTGATAATCATTTAATATAAGTACTATTTATTATGTAGAAAATTTTGAAAATCAATTAAAATGTAAACTAAAATTGTATCAAATTAAAATTGTTAAAGTGGGTTTCAACTGACGTTTGTAATTAGCCATCTCTTTCATTTGCTGTGAAAAAACAGAGACAAATGTCATATGGCCGAATACTGCGTTAACAGCGCTTAAACTCCGATTTAATTAAGATTTGGAAGTCTGTCAGATTGTAAGTGGCAGTGTTTAAGATTTCTTCCAACATTCGGCCGTTAGAGACCCACTGTTTAAATTAATTTGTGTATTCTGGCTGCCGTATTGATGTCCTGATTAAAATTATCGTAACTACACTGTTGTTTTATTTCAATCGCCAACTTATTTTTAATTAGCTTTTGCTCGCGACTGACCGCAGCGGAAATAATGAAAAAGGTAGCCTTCGTTACTCAACAACAGTTAACGGTGAAAGAATTTTTGAAATCTATTCTGAAGTTACTTATTTTACTAGGTACTAGCTGTCGATTGCGACTTTGTCCATGTAAAATTACGAAATAACTAAAAATAACCTATAGATTTCTTGACTTCCTAGTTAACTTGACTATGTTCCAAAAGCCATAAAAATTCGGTCAGTACTTTTGAAATTATCTCGTAACAAACATCCATCAGACTAATATTTTTAGTAGCGCACTCAGAATCACACAGAAATGGGTATATTAGAGGAAGTTTGAGAGTAGTCCCAGTGGTTAAGAAAAAAAGAAGTAGAAAGCTAGAGTGGTATGGGCATGTTATGAGAAGGGATGAATCGCATGTAACAAGAAGGACATTAGTTATGAATGTGGAGGTACACCTGTAGAGGTAGACCTAGAAAGAGATAGATGTATTGCGTGAAAGGTGACATGATCAAGAATGACAGATGACGGATGATAGAGTGCATTGGAGGACGAAAACCTACGGGAGTAGGGTAAAGCAGTAGAGATGATGATGATGAAAGCAAAATTAGATAATTTTTAATTGCACATTGCATGAAATGAAACAATCAAAGTAAATCAAATTTTTATTTTTAAATTACATTATTCACAGCAAATAATAATACTACAACATAGTTCAATAAATTAGCAGGATTGGAATAAACCCTTCTTACGCATCTCTTCAAATTCCTTCTCCGCATCATATGTCCTGAAAATAAATTATTATTATCAGTCACATTATATTTCTCTATAGTGTAGATTTAATATGAGAAACCTACACTAAAACCATAAAGAGACAGAGGAGTGTTTGGGACGACCCAATTGGTCCAATGAGTTACTTTATTCCAAAATGAATGAATTGTTCAAATATACAAAAATACATTAATTCACTTATTGCCACTCCCAGTGTTGCC